CTAGACCAAGTCATTCGGGGTCATTCTATCACCCTTGCCAGCGACGTGTTTTGGCACAGGGCGTGTGACACAGCCCTGGCAGTGAGATATAAACGAAACTCTGCGGGAGGCTTCTGGAAATGTTTTCCTGCCCTAGAGAACAGGACACACAGACAGGGATTTGCTCCTCCCTCCTGGAGCCTGTGCTACAGTCTTGGCATCATGAGGAAAAGGTCACCAGCCCTTGTGAGAAGGTGGCCCCCAGTCCCGGCCTCATGGGGCCACTCAATGAAGCAACCCCCTAACTAGGGCCTTCAGACACGTCGTGTTGCAAAAGAAGGCAGTTTTCTCATTGTCGAAGCCCTGTTTTGCTGGGTATTCAGTAAACTGCACCGAGAAACACAGATCCTGGGCCCCAATGAGAATCAGGGAAACACAACTGCAAACCATCATTCAGGGATTGGCAAACACTAAAAATTGATCTTTTCCAGGGTTGGCAAGAATACCCTTGGGAACCTGGTAGAAAGTAGAAATGGGTATGGTTTTTTTCCTAAAGGCCCCTTGGCAGCAGCTATGTAAACACACATGTCGTTTGATGAAGCAATTGAGTTCTAAGACTCTCTCCTTGCATCATTTCCTCTTCCTTCTCTGCCCTTGCTTTCAGGCCCCGAGGCTGGCCTCCACACACAGCACCTTCCCATTCTCGGCCCTCGGGTCTCTGGTCTGGCTCAGGAGGGGCTGGGCAGAAGGAGAGACAGACGGGGGGGCGGGGGGAACCTCACCCCTGCCTCCACACCCACGTCCCGCCCCACAGGCTGTGGGCTTACTGAGGGGCAGCCCCCTGTCACCCTCTCAGGGTCCCACCCCTAGCCCGGCCCGGCCTCCACGGCCAGTCAATTCTTCACTTCAGACCCCGGGAATACCTGCCGCTCAAAACGCCCTCCTCCGAAAGGCACTCCCAGAACACAAATGGCTTCATGACAGCGCGGTCTGGAACAGGCTAATTCGGGAACCCCGCACGCACCACCCTCTAAAAATTTGGGAGGCTGGAGTCTGTGTGCTTTGGCTCTAGGAGGTCCTGTCACCACCTTCAGAAACAAATTAGGGAAAAATCACTTCCTCCCTCCCGTTGCGGCAATTAAGACAAACAAGAAAATGCTTTTTAATCAGATTTTTTTAAGGCGGCAAAAAAAAAAAACCCTTACCCCTCCCCACCCATCTCCCCCAAACAATTCAGTTCTACAGCAGGCTGGGGTGGGCGCCCCAAGGATCAGAGCCCAGGTGCAGGGAGCCGGCACCAGACAGAAGAGGGTGGGTCTGGGACCTAGCCAGCTGCAGACACAGCTTGAGCAAATGAGTGAACAAGCTAAGGATCTGGACCCCAGTAGAAAGAACTTAAAACAAGAAAAGAAAACACATTATAATGATACACACTTTTTTGTAAGATGGAAGAAAACCCATATACCCATCAAATTAACAAGTGTAACCTCCAGACAATAGAACTGGAAGGCCCTGGGGGCGAGGAGCTAAGTGATTTTCACCCTGAACTTGACTGGCTTTCTGTGTTTAACTTTGGTTGCTTATGTGGTTTTCTTCGGAACACTGTGTATTATATTTTACAATCAAGTTAGTAGACCAGCAGCGGTACCAAGTAGAGAAAGCACCCGGGACAGCCACCCTCCGGCGCAACCCAGCCTGGGTCACAGCCCAGACACCTCCCCGCGACACCCCGCGATGTGTGGGGCCCAGATTATCACATACAGGCCAGCCACGGCAATCCTAATGGTGTAACCACGCTACACTCTCCCTCCCGCTGCAGGGGACCCTCCACCGGGGCCATGAACACCAGCGTCTTGTCCCCTTCCCTGCTTCCCATGGGTGACCAAAGGCGCAGAGGGAAGGCAGTCGCGATGCCCGAAACCACAGAAGGCCTGCTGGAGGTGGGGACGGGGCAGGTTGCAGGACATCCGACCTTGGGAAAGTCCAGTCGTGGCCCCAGTGAGCAGGGTGGGACCAGACTGATGATGAAGGTGATGAAGGTTAACGATGGTCCCAAGGGTAGAGCCCTGACCCAAGAGGACAGGTGTCCTTATAAGAGGAGACACCAGAGACCTCACTCTCTCTCCACCATGTGAGGACACAGCAAGGAGGCGCCCCGTGCACAGGAGGAGAGCCCTCACCAGGAACCAAATCCCTGCCTCCCACTTTGATCTTGGGCTCCCAGCCTCCAGAACTTTGAGAAACAAATTTCTGTTGTTTAATTCCCCCAGTTTGTGGGATTTTTGTTATAGAAGCCCGAACACACTGACCTCAGGGATGCTCGAGAAGAATAAAGTAAATGTAATCCGATGAATGGCATAGAAACACATTAATGAAATAATATGCAAAATTTGCTCAGACCTTGGAGTAAAAGGATGGGGGGGGAAAGGAGAAAGAACATTGCGGCATGAGGACCAGGTGACTGACTCTATGTCTAAGAGGGAATCTCAGGAAGAAAGAACAAAACAAGGCAGACAGTGTTTCAAAGAGATTAACAGAGCGTTCTTAAAAATACACCTAATGTAAGTCAAAACAAACGCAGAGAAGGAGCTGAGCTATACGACAGTTAGGGGGGCGGGGGGGGTGTTTTCATTGTCAAAGATGAGGTGGGAGATATTTCCAATCTCAGCAATATCAGGGTCTCAACAAAGACAAAAGCAGGCTGGAATCAGACTTTTCCCCTACAACACTCAATGGAAAAAAAGGGGGGGGGGTCAAAGGACAAGTCGTTATTCCTATTATTTCAAATAGGCAAGAATTCAGAAGGTACCTCATGGGTAACCACAGCCTATACCCTTAACACACAAAGAGTTCTGGCAAATCAATAAGAAAGGAACCTCGTCTTACTGCACATTCTCCTAGTGTTCGTGTGTAGCCTGTGACATAAGCCCCCCTCTCCGGCAACCCCCGAGCCCTCCCCGCTCCGTACCCCAGCAGACATTGTGGAGTTTGGAGCTCTATACCCTCCACCTACCGCTGAGGCCTCTGACTTAGATATGTCACATCTCAAAGACCTGAGTGCCAAATGGAGCCAATGCTTCTCCACCTATTACTGTACACATGCCTCTTGGCAATTCGTCATCCCCTGTCCTGATGCCAGAAGTCATCCCAGAGGCCACCTCTCCTCCACCAACCTCCTCATACCACTTTCTGTCAGGCAGGTCTTGCTCCTTCTCTGCTTCTGAAGCCGCTTCTGGGCCCATGAGGATTATCCAGCCCCTGTCACCACACACCCAGCCTCATGGCACTCAAATGCATTCCCTCATGTTCTCATGTTGCACCTAGACCCTTAATGATCCGGTTCCTGCCTCCTCGTGGGGCCACCTCTCATCTCTCCTAGTCACCCACAACCCTCCCGCCACACCGCCTGAGATGGGCCAGGCCCCCTCTTCGCCCCGTGCACTTGGATACCTCGGCTGCAACGGCCCCCCTCTGACTCCTTCAGCATTCAGTTCAAGCCCCCTTCCCCATCCCCCCTCTTCACGACCCCTGTCGTCAACCAGCAGGCCAGGTGGGGCGTTCTCGTTCACGGCCCCCAGCACACCTTCCATCAGAGCTCCATCAGAGGCCTACTGAGCCGGAGAATTACTGGAGGGCAGAGCTGCCCTTCACTTGGGCATCCTCCGTTCCTGGGCCAGTGGGAGGCGATGAATGGGGAGCCCAGGGTCACTGAATGCCTCCCGCTATCCACTTCCACTCTTGCACTTGAGGATCTTGTGGATCTCGGCTTTCAAAGCCTGGAGTGCCCCATGGAGGCAGAGCTTCGCACCCTAAGACCTGCTGAGGCGAACATGTCTTTGCACATATCTGGCTCCTCTCTAATTCAGGCCCAGCTTGACTAAAAAGCAATGTGTACGTACTGACTACTCCCTGTTACATTACAGGGAATGAAGCTGCCAGATGCTGGCTTTGCTGGGCTCCCTGGGCTCCCTGGGCTCCTTGGGCCAGAGTCACCCCCATGCTGGCTTTGACCCAGGAGCTTGTGATGCAAAACGGGACAGGAGGTCTCTCTTTGGTGGCACAGCAGATGTTCCCTTTCCAGAATCAAAGGGCAGTGTGGCCTGGGGCATTTTCTCCAGCTTCCCAGCCCTGAGTCCAACACTCATGCCCCATGACATCGTGAGGTGTCCTACATTCCGTCAATAAGCAAACGCCTCTTCTTCCCAACTCGGCAGGAAGCAGCTTCTTTGCAGCTGAGAGCCTGACTGATCAAACAGATCAATCTTGCAAGCCAAGAATTTTCGAGGTGGTCAAGTGACAAACCCACTTAACACCACAAGGACAAACGACGTATGGTCCGGAATGGACGAGCACGGGCTTGTCTCCAAAACCGTCCGAGGATGATTCTAGAAGAGGACAGCCACAATGCGCTCGGTGGCAGGGCTGAAGGACCCTTACTGGGAAGCTCTCTCCCTAACAGTCCCGCCTTGTTACACTGATACACTCTCGGCAAGAAGCTCCTGGCTTTCCTTTACATCTACCTGGCAAGTGTAAGGTTACCTTGTAACTATGTCTATCGATCCAGTCACCATCACTTGTAACTACGTCTATCGGATCCAGTCCCTACCACCCACCGGTGAGGGTAGTGAGTTCACCAGCATCTCTCCGTTCCCCAACTCCAAGCACTGGGTGGGGCGCAGTGCTCTAGGGGAAGGGATGACAAGGCTTGGGTTTCCGCTACAGCTTCATCTTCAAAGACTGTGCAGTATCAGGGCGAGATGTGCCCAACAGCGGGCTCTGCACAAATAAACTCTGCATCGTCCCCAAGGCACAAGGACAACATGTCCACATCCTGATCGACCTTCTCCTATACCTCTCAGCAGCAGAACAGATTTCTGATCAATTCCCGTCCTTACATTAATCTCAGGAGCTGAGTTCAAGTGCAGAGCCCCACCCCCCCCCCCCCCCCGCCCCCAACCGCCTGGCAGCTGCCCGCCCCCCCCAGCCTCAGCTCCGGGAGGGAAGGCAAAGCCGGGTCTTACCTGCCTGTGCGGCTGTGATTAGGGCCGTGTTCCCCTCGCTGTCCTGCCAGTTGACATCAACGTGGGGGCACTCTGCTAAGACCACCACAGTATCCACAAAGCCGTGGTAGCAGGCGACAATAAGGCCAGTCTAGAAGTGAAGAGGGAAGCGGGTCAGAGGGGCAGACCACTGCAGACCCCGTGTGCACACACTGTCCCCCGCCCCGGTGGGATCACAGAGAACCCCGGGTCCCGGTTCTGGCTGGCAGTTTAGAGCAAGCCAGGCTTTTGTTCACTCTCGAATGTTCATTGGGTGATGCCCACAAGAGAGGCACGATGCCTGGGAAATGTCTGGGAACCAAGATCCCTGCCTGTACGGCGTGCCTTCTAACGGGAGGTCAAACAGCAAACTAGAGACCTACCAGACGAGTGAGGACAGAGTGTGTTAGAAAGGAGACTAGGATAAGAGAGGCTGTGAGTGCGGGGGGGGGGGGGGGAGTGGCTCCGGTAGGGTGCGCGGGGTGGGCTCCCTGGGAAGGAGACGGTGGACGAAGATGGGAAGGAGGTGAGGAAGAGCCGAGGGCTGCGGAGGGGGAGCACCCCTGGGAAGCCCGGGGGTGGAGCCTCGTGGGCCAGAAGGAGGACGTCAAGGGGCATCGGAACCCCAAGAGGCCACAGCACAAACTGCTCAGCGTTTTGAGCAGTCAGTTGTCAGGTACCCTCATCAAGTCTAGCTGCTGGATGGAAACAGCATCTATGAGACCAGCCTGGATGTGGGGAGAGCAGATGGGAGGGGTGGTGTCATAAAACATAAATATTTGGCCTTTGTCCCCAGTTCCTGGCACACAGCTCTGAAAACCCTTAGAAATTAGTTTCTTACATGCTAATGAGATGATGCACATTGGGGGCAGGGTGCTGGTAGCTTCAGGATGGAGGCCAGTCTCTAGAAAGACCGACCGCCCCACAAGTAAGAGGTTAGATCTTGCCCCTTCTCTGCACAGCGCCCCCCAACCCCACCTCCGGGGAGGGGCGCAGGGCTGGAGACTGAGTTCAATCACCAATAGCCAATGATTGAATGGTTAGAGCAAATCATGCCTACTTAATGAAAGCTTCTTAAACACCCCTAAACAACGGGGTTTGGGGGGCTTCAGGGTTGGTGACACGTTGAAGTGTTGGGAGGGTGGTGCCCCCAGAAAGGGCACGCAAGTTCTGCACCCCTTTCCTATACCTCGCCCTGAGCACCCCTTCCGTTTGGCTGTTGTTGGCTTTTATCCTTTATAATAAACCAGGGACAGTCAGTAAAGCGCTTTCCTGAGTTCTGTGAGTCATTCTAGTGAATTATCAAACATGAAGGGGAGAGTGTGGGAATCCCCAAATTTGGAGCCAGTTGGTCAGAAGGTGACCCCTGGGTTGAGACTCGCGGGACGGAGCCACACCCCTGTGGGGTCTGCGCCAGCCCTGGGGCGTTAGTGTCAGAATTCCTGGAATCGCTGCAGACCCTGTTGGTGGAGAACTGGGGAACTGGGATGGAAAACCCACACGTATTTGGTGTCAGAGAAAAAAGACATCACAGGGGACTCCTGCAGCTGCTGGGCCAACAATGATGGCGGTCAGCCGTGAGCCAGGAAGCAAGCCCTCACCGGACCCCGGCCTTGGTCTTGGATTCCCAGACTCCAGAACTGTGAGAAACGAATTTCTGCCGTTTGATCAGCCATCCACTTTCTAGTATTTTGTGCAGCCACTGAGCTGACTAAACACTTTGTGACAAAGGAAAATGATCTCAGACTCCTCACACACATGGATTCAGGGACATGCTAAAATTCAAGACGTGGCAATCCGGAGCTAAGGATCATGTGACGCTGAGCACTGCCCACTGTACACACCACCGCACAGGGGATGCTAAGCTTATGTTTAGAGCAACTCCACGGTGACCCAGCTCTATGTGGGCCAGGGGTTTAACAAGAATGTCATTTTTCGTGGAACAAGGAAAGGGCACGGGCAATCCCACCTGCTTATCTCAATATGCTCCTGGTTGCTGTCCCAAAAGAATACTGAATCACATATATTCGAATTTTTAGTTTTAGAGACCATCACAGATTTTTTTTTTTTAAATACTGACATCCCTTCGGCAGCATAAGGAGCTCCATCATGTTGTGACTATAGTAAAGCCTATTTAATTTGCCCCAGCTCATGCCTTCTTTGAAGTAAGTCATTCCGTCCATAGAGTGAAATGGTTCACAATAATTTAATTTAAAGAGAAGAAGAGAGCACAAGTGAGTCCAGGCTTTCAGTGTCTCTGATAACTAGAGTTCACTGCCACCAACATCTGCCTTCTCCCACCCAACTTGTCTGCTCACTGCTGCATAAACAGCCCAGAAAACCTGCGACTCCATTTGGTTGGCACCAAAATCTCATTTTGAAATTCTTTGGATGGAGGTATTTCTCAAGTGTCCGACAATTTCCTGACTTATATATAAGGCATGCCGAACACAGCGTAACCTCTTCCTTTTTACATAATGACACAAGAAGCTCATATTTGTTACAGAAAAGAAATCCGAAAACAGAGAAGACAAAAAATTATCTAGACACACACAATCTCGCAAACACACACATACACACACGTGTGCACACACATGCCCATGTTTTCTATACCAAAATAGGATAACTTGTTATATGTTTCAATGAGGACTATATCAGCAATGTCTTTTCACATCAATCAAAACACTTGTGTGTCAACATTTCCACCAGATGTGGAACACTCGATACTCCAGTAGGACAGAATCATAGTTATTTAATGCATCCCCACTCTTGGATGCAGAGATTGATTCCAATTTTTCCAAATTATGAGCAAAACCTGCAATGAAAATCCCTAGAACCACGGCTTCATGCTTCTCGTTCCTTACTGTCTCAGGAGATATTCTTAGAAGTAGTATTTCTGGATTAAAGGAAAGAGATATTCTGAAAGCCTTGAACACATATTGAAAACCTGTCCTTCAAAAATATCCCAAAGGGCCCCCACCTTTGCCAACCTGGCCATCCAATCTTTACTTAAGGACTGTGGGTTAAAAGGAGGAATTTCCATCAGTGGATAATAAAGCAGTGCTCCCCAGCACTCCTCAGCACCTGGTTCCTGGTTCTGTGTTCTCTCTTTTGGGATCATGCATACCTCCATTCCTTGCTACCACAACCACTGGGAGGGTCCATTCTGGAACCACAACCCCTTCTGGCCACCTAAAGTGAGACTTCCCCAAAATGTGCAGCACATCGCTGCCGAGAGTAGCCTTGGAAATCTCAGCACAACCTTAGGTCAGAAATGAAGATTATCAGGGGAAAAAATAGAAACCTAAGTTTGAGGGCTCAGGAAAAAATGGTATCGGATACCTCTCGTCTCCCAGCAGAGACTGACTTACATTACTATTAACACAATAACCTTCATTCCCTACCCTCTGGGGGTCTACTGGCACTCTTGGACCATGATCTCCCAAGACAAACAGCAACAAAGGACTTGCCACAAAGACAAATAAATATTAACCACTGCTAAACTGACAGAAGCCCATTTGCAGATGGTCCCCAAAGCCACATATAAGCTGTTTTTTTTTAATTATAAGCAAAGTGTCCATGAGAATAAAATAATATTATTAAGAAAAAATCGGTAAACTACCTACAAGTAGAAGCTTCCATTTGGACATCAGCTAGAAATTCAAGTCCCTCAAAACATAAGCTTAATTTTTAAGTCTACACACCATAGAAATGTTGGCGTGACAACAACAAAAAAAAATGAGTTGAGATGTTTCTTCTTAAAAACTGTAAGGGTTTGCACATCAAAAAACAAAAATATACAAACCAAAATTCCATTTCTCGCAGGAAGAAAGGAGGATCTAACACCAGGATTTTAGTAACATTATTTATTGTACTGACAGATGAAAGAGGTGCAGGCAAGAGGAAGAAAGGTCATCAACACACACACACACACACACACACACACACACACACACACATACACACACACACACAACCAGAAAATGCACAGGAAACATCTAGATGAATTACACCAAAGTATTAATGTCCTCTGTGAAAGGAACGAGAATAGGGTGTACATGATGGTTAATTTTAGGTGTCATAATTTTATGTTGTACCCAGATATTTGGTCAAACATTATTCTAGATGTTTCTGTGAAAGTATTTTTTTTTTGACAAGACTAACATTTAAATCAGTATACTAAGTAAAGCAGATTGCTCTCCCTGATGTGGGTAGGCCTCACTCAATCAGTTGAAGGCCTGAATAGAACAAAGAGAGACCGTCCCTACGCAAGAAGGAATTCTGCCAGGGGACCACCTTTGGACTTGAACTACAACTTTTCCCTGGGTCTCCAGCCTGCCAGCCCACCGTGCTGATTTTGGATTTGCCAAGCCTCTGCAATTGTGTGAACCAATTCCTTAACAGGAAAAAAATCTGTACGTGTGTATGTGTCTGTCTATATAGTTACATAGAGTTGTTATATAGTTATATATAGCTAGATAGATACGTGTGTGTGTGTGTGTGTGTGTGTGTGTGTGTGTGTGTGTATCTAGCTAAAGATATATGGAGATAGATAGACATAGACAGATACCTACAGACACAGAGACTCTATTGGTCTGTGTCTCTGGAGACTCCTGATTAAGACAAGGTAGGTGGGAAAGGAACACTTTGAAGGAACTGCTTTTTACTCTATATGTCTCTGTACAGTTTCTGTTCTTTAAGACAAAGTTGTATTTGTGAGGAACTTACATGGTTTTAATTCACAATGAAAAACAAGTACAAGTAATGATGTTTACATTCATAACGCTCTCATTAGGAAATACAGTTTTATAACAACCCCTGTAAACAGTGGAGAAGAGAACCATCTATGAGGAGGGAGGAGGCGCAGTGGGCAGAAGAAACCAGGAACTGACAAGCAGCCCAGCGAAGAGAGACCGGTACACCAAGAAGCACATACGAACCCCGCAGCCGCATGGTACAAAAATAGATCTAGTAATTATCCAGGTTATCGGGAAGAAAAAGGATATTACCCATGTTCTAATGTGAGAAAGAAACTCCATCATTCATAGTACAATTTTTTTTTAATTGGATACCAAGAGAAGAAACCTCAGTGACTCAAAAATCCATTTCCAT